CAAGGACTGTGTAAATTAGTTAAGTATATTTTCGATATCGAAAATTGTATAAAAAGCGTATAAAGTGTAAATTATTTAATCGAAGGATCGTACACTATTTATGACCGTTTCGAATTATGGTAATTTAAAAAATTATCATATTATTATACGAGTAATATAGGTATAGCTAGTCTACATGAGACAATTTTCAACTGATATATTACATCCGATCATTATAAATGAAGGTACAAATTTAAAAATATCATAATAATTGAAAAATTACTAAATTTATCGTAATAACTATTGTTCATAAATATAATATAGTATATACGGCTTTCAAATATACAATACTAATTGAAAGTTATATTTATGAACAATTATTATACTATGTTTTTTTTTTCATTTATTTAGTATAGCTTACACATATAAATATGTTGGTATTATTATCTTATGTACTTAATTTAAATTGCACGTATTGGCTTAACATTATATTAATAATTAGATTTAGTTATGGTTGCAGACATGTAGCACGATAACTGTTACAATAGATAGGTACTTAATTATAATCGGTCCTAGAGGGATAGCAATCATTATTCGGTATAATTATTAATTACCGTAGGATTATGATTATTGTGCTTATGATTATAATTAACTTCAAATGACATGACGTATAGATTATACTAAACTAGTGTAAATAAGTCGTGAGAAGAAAATAATATTTTTAATAGTGAACAAAAATCATCTAGTCTTTGCAAATACAAGTAAATTTAGTGCTTTATAATTTTTTTTTTTTTTTTTTTTAATACTTATTACTATAATAACTATATTTTTTTATGAATTATGTTTAAAACTTAACCTAATATTCTTTATAATAATATAGGTAATTAATTTTTAGAATAGAATATGAACGAACAGAATGAAAAATTAGAATATCCATGTAGTGGAGAGATAATCGAGTTTATAAATTACAGGTACCTACCTAAGTTTTTTTTTAAAAAACATGGTGTAAATTTTAATCTAATTTGAATTAAAATTCATATACTTATACAGTTGTTTTTAACTATTGAAATTTCGTCAATCATTGTCAAGAGTGATTATAGAAATAAATAAAATAATGTCTTTTTTAAATAATTTAATTAACGAGTTTATAATATTATGTTATGGTCTATCAATACACTATGAGATTTCTACACTGTGTATAATCCGTTTGTCTATACGTATATACAAACGTACACGACAGTCGATAATAATTATTAGCCGATGACATTGACCAATATTATAGGCATTGCAAATTTAATGAATATTATTTTCACTTAAATTTAAGTTGAATAATAATATTTTTAATATAATATATTAAATGTCAGAATAGTTATAGTAGGTATAGGAGCATATTCTTAGAGTGTGTACTGGTGATAAACTTTCAAATTGTATATACTTACACTCGATAAATTAACGAGGTAAATTATACCAATCAATATTTGCACTGTTCAAGACTCGACCTTTAAAATATTATAAATAAAATGAGCCATCATCTAATCCAAATTTCCAATATTTACCAGTGCAACAACTTGCTTATTATAGGACATAAATGCTACTGAGATCCACGGTACCTATGAGGTAAGTTATATAATATTAGGGCGGCCATTTATCTGAAATTAAAACACGAGACATTCAATCTTAGGGGGTCCAGTGATAGATGACAATAGTAAGGTCCTCCTTAAACTATTCAATTAAGTCTTATACAAATTATTTTGGTGATCCCAATTCTTTGTGTACAGTATCCATTATACTACCCATGGCTGAGAAAATTAAACTATACCACTGTTCCCCTTACTGACTCGTGAAAGACTTTAAATGTTTAATAAATTATTAATTTAAAAAAATTGGTTTGTTAAAAGTTGGAATATATAAAATATATTAATGTAATTCATAGGTATGAAATTATAAAACGGAAATATGTAAACTAAAATATTTTATAAATACTTAAAAAAAAACAGACATACTTCGCACGATCGCACCACTGTTGTAGATGAGACGTTGAGAAGGTAGGATATAGAGGGGAATTTAATATATACCATAGGAATAGTAATTATTAATTACTTATTAGCTATATCTAACTGATGAAGTACTACTTCGTAATTTATATTAATAATTTCTATTTATTTTTTTTTATCTATGTAAGCATTAGAACTCATAATATTATAGTTTTAAATACCTAACAATAAAATTATTATAATTGGCCTTAAAATGAAAACCGTGTTTTCGTAAACCAAAGTATTTCTCGTTAAAGTGTGAAAAATCTAGAGCAGAGATATCTAATAGTCTTAAGTGCTTTTTTTTTTTTATATAAAAATTGTTTACTTAGACAGAAGATTAAAGTGACCACACCTGGTAAAAAATAATATTCTATATAATCATAATAAACAAATTCTATTAGAGTATTAGTAGTTGTATTAAGTATATTCGGTGTTTTTTTTTGTTAGACTACTAATTATTATATATAATACAAATATAAAGCATTTTCAAAACTACACTGTTTTAAGTAAAATTGCACTAAATTTAATAACCCATTCACATTAAAAAATTAATATTTTTCATTAGTTCGATATCAATATTAAAATATGTCACTCTAATTTGATCCCTCAAGATAACATTCACTCAGATTCTAGAATCTGTCCAAAATACACGATTGTGACTTTTATTATTTAAATGTAGAATATAAAGGTAGAATAACATACTAATTATAACTGAAATTCGGGATTTTTTAATACGACTTCCCTAAAAACCCGAAGGAATAACCTTATTTTAGGTTTTTTTATAATAAAATGGATTTTAAAACGAATAGAAACAATACTAGAGGTATTGATATACTTTTCTTATAAAACATTGTTTGGAATTACTTAAACTAACTATCCGGTTAATATGTTAATGTCGATTGGTAAGTAATTCTACAAATTTAGATATTTTTTTTGTAAAATAAATGATATCAAATACATACAATGTAACTTCACTTGATTTTATAGTATTATTATTTTTTTTCAATTTTACATTATTATTTATTTGTATACAACTAAGAAATTTTGTAAACTTATATATAGATAGTATTACGTATTTATTTTAATTGTACATATTAATATGTAGGTTACACACATCTATGCTAATGGAATTTTTTCCTCATACAATTAATAAATAATAATAATAATATAAATTTCACATAATGTAGGTACATTATTTAGCTAATCCATAATAAAAATTGCAGTTTCGGTTAAATACAAACGCGTAGCAACGCATAGTGCTCTTCATTAAAAATATTATTGTGTTTTACAATCGGTTATTACAATACAATTTATGCGAATTTTTAAGTATTCTTTTGATTATCTTTGGAGAATTTCTCTAGAAAAAGAAAATTGCAAGAAAATATGAATGGTTGGGTTTTAGGTATTCGTCGATAGTTACTTCGCTCTCGTTAAGCAATCATATTATATTGTTTTAAATTCTAAACTGTTGTTTTTTTTTTTTAAATATTTTTTTAATAGAGTCCGGTTTAGTGGATAATGCATAATATATTATGTATAAAATTTATCTGATGGAGTGTAGAATATAACCGTATTTCAATATAAACTTCTTCCTGTTCATATTTAAGAATTTGTCTCAGAGTGAAATTATTATAATGTTGTAAATATTACGAGTATATTCGAAGTAAAATCAATGTTTATCGCTTTCTACATAATATCGTCATATTGGTAACAATATATTTTTTTTGAAAATCTGTAGTAGGTACACTCGTCCAAAATATATTTAAATATTTTACCTTATTAAATTGTGAACAAAAAATATTGAATTGAAAGCAGAGAAACGGGAAAATGTACGAAATGTATTATTTTCAAATCGTAAATACGAATATTACGACCTTTCCACAATGTGGAAGAACTTCCCATAGTTTCGTGGCCATCGGATATTCGGATGAATGGTGCAGTAATGCTTAAAGAACATCCATCCTAATGTGTGTCTGTATAGACAAATACATTATTAGATTATCTCGAAAATACGTGCCAATAGCAAGAAACTAGTTACATATTTTAATTCAGTATTCTCAAACATTTTTCAATATTTTTCAATGAATATTCAAAAATCCTTGGCAAAAAATTTATTTTTATTTTTTTGTTAACCAGTTAACCTATAATGTAGGTAATATTATTGTATGTGTTGACTGTAATGTAATATATTTGGCCATCGCCAAATAACCTAAGATTCATAATATCTCAATATAACATCTGTCAATGGCATGCCCAGGAATTTTTAATGGAAAGAGATACCTATAGTAAATTTATTCTATATATAAATATCTCCTAATACTCCTTGCGTCCCCTCCCCTTGTGCACACTACTGTAGGTGTACGGATAGATACTAAAAGTTATTCGTAAAATAATAATTTACACTTTTATTTATTTTTACTTATTGGTGTCATATAGTATATATATATAGGCAATACATAATATTATACATTTGATATATTTTTTAAATTTCTTAAGATTGTCATCTTCTGCTTCCATGATATTATGTACCTATCTACAGTTTGTTCACTCTATTCAAATATAATAATAGCCGTATACGTATGTAAGCAGGGGAAACAAATACTGTACATCTATCAAACCTAACCTGTCTGTACCTACATACCTATGGACATTCTTACCAGACTATTTAAAAATGCATTGGGCGTTATACAAGTTTCCATATACTCATACAATTACAATAGTACCTAAGAGGTTAAGTTATTGTTATGGCAGTGTAGTATGACGAAAACTATATACGAAGGGAAATGTACAGATTAGCAATAACACATTTTTTTTTCTTTTATTATAATAATAATAATAATTTTTAAAAAGGCTATACTAGTGATAGGTGCAAGAATGAATTGGCTAAATGACACAAACAATGTTACGCATTTCGGCAGGTACAAAACTCGCCTAAGAAAAGCGAGTAACATATTGAGGTGTGAAAAAAGGAAATACCTCCAGGATATGTTGGAAAAAGCAGAGCTCGACTATAAATCGCATAAAACCAGAGACATGTACAAGCAGATAAATCGACTTACAGGAGGATATAAAAAGAAAGAGAGGTTCTTGAAAAATGATGATGGGACGCTAATAACCTCGTACGAGGAGATATCCAAAAGATGGGGTGAGTACTTTGATGAGCTATTAAATTGTGACGAGCCGGACGAAGTCTTCAGTTTCGACCTAGGAATAAACTTTGGAATAAACAAGATTGTCCAGAACCAACGTTGGAAGAGATAAAGCTACAGGTAAAATGGCTTAAGAATCACAAGTCACCTGGAAAGGATGAAGTTCAAGCTGAACTACTAAAATATGGAGGAGAAGAACTGCTGACTAAGATAGGGAAACTGATAAACCAGATCTGGAAATCTGAAAAAATACCAGAGGAATGGAAAACAGCTATGATATATCCGATCCATAAAAAAGGAAGCAGACAAGATTGTAATAATTATCGAGGCATAGCTCTTTTAAATGTGATATATAAGGTATTATCTAACTGCGTTTTATCAAAATTAAAAGAAAAATCGGAGGAAATTATTGGCGACTATCAGGGAGGCTTTAGACCTGGAAGATCAACAACGGATCAAATATTTGTTCTTCGGCAGATNCAAATGTTTTCCAGAGGATATTTTTACGTTGACGACAATGACGTTACATACGGTGCATGGATGTTGGGTTTTCTCGATTCTTCGATAAGGGTTTATGAGGAATTATTATTTAAATAAAAACAAAACAATAAATTATTTTAAATAAAATAAAAACAAAGTATAACCAAACATATTTTTATCATTTTTTTACTTAACAATTTGACAGCATTTTAACATATAGGTACTTACAATAAATCATGTTTTTTTTAAATAAATGTGAAATAGCATTCCTTTGTTTTGAAAAATATTATTTTAACGGTTAGAGTAAAAAATGTATATTTTTCTACATTTTTCAACAAATCGCAATCGTATTCTGACACAATTCGAGTAGGTCTTATGATCGGGCACCTATATGACTGTCGACTTGCGTATTTTGGTTATGTATCACAATACCACAATTATACCACAAAAACTTTTATAATTTAATAATAATAGTCTAAGTCTGAGTGATTTTGAATGTAAACCAACAGTTATGTTACATAAATATATGAGAAATCCATATCCTTTTTATTGATTTCGCGAAAAGCATATGACAGTATTCATTGAAAAAGCTTAATTAACATTATGAGAGAATTTAACTTCCCCCAAAAATTGATAAAGTTAGTGGAGATAAGTATTATGGAGATATTCATTAAAGTCAAAGTTGGAAGTAGCGAAACGGAGCAAATATTAGTAAAGTCTGGTCTGAGACAGGGCGACTCAATGTCTCCGGTGTTATTTAATATAGTGCTAGAGAAAGTTATTAGAGCAATGAACGTTAGACCCGACGAAGGAGTTAAACTACAGAACTCATCAATAGGCCTATTAGCGTACGCAGACGATTTAGTATTAATGGAAGAATCACCATGAAATCACTGTTCGACCGTCTACAAAGAATGGCAGCGAAAGTAGAACTACAGATAAACGAAACTAAAACGGAGTATATGGTCGTTGGTAGACGAGAAACTGCGGGTATGTACCCATCCTTGAATGAAANCATGCGTGGCGCAGTCAGAATCCCTTGCTACGTATAGTGTTAGAGAAGGATTCAGCTGGGAAGAGACCTTTGAGAAGACCTCGTATGAGATGGGAAGATCTGGTTAAAAAAGATGTAAGTGCCTTAGGTGGAGGATCAGATTGGAAAGAACGAGCATCCGACAGAGATGGCTGGAGGGAGGGATGTTTGACGTGATGGTCCTAGCGGCCGTTTACCCGAAGAAGAAGAAGTGATAGGTGCGCCACTGTTTTCGGAGGGAAGTTTGAGAGGAAGATATTATATAGAGTAATTTAATCATTTATCTGCACACATCAATAAACTACTCGAAATGATAAAAATCTTTCTAAATAGAGAATTTTAGTCCATATGATTTCCTCATTTCGCAAAGGTAACCCGGAAATTAACAAATATTACACGAATAATTGTCAGTTTTTCATATTTATTAAGAAAACTACAAGGAAAATCAAAAAATGACATTTTAAACACACAAACTAGATCCAAGATCCTAGAAGAAATTACCAATAAAGTGTTTGATTAGTGCGAGATTTCTGGTAAAACAATTATTTATGTCAACAGAAAAAAATTTAAAAAAAATTCCTCGTATTTTTCAGAAATAATTATTAAATTACATTATTACAATTATAAAACATAATTATTATTCGTAGATTCACACTATAAAAATATTAATCGCATCGTTGATAATTTTTTATTATTATTTAAATCTAATATTACTATAAAAATATATGTGGAACAAAAATCGAATAATATAATTAACAAATAATATAAATACATAATAAATTACAATCATCCGTCTTAAACCACGCAATAGCACATATCATTGTACTATAGAATAAATAATATGCACATGCTAATAAAAATTATTGTAATTCTATTTATAATCTATATTAATGCACTCATCAATTTGTAATATGTTATAGCGGATATTTATGCGATACATTTCCACGCATAGCGAAAAATAAAATATATGTATCGGAAGGTCAAATTTTCACCGTAGATTATTAATCTTCTGCAACATAAACACACGTTTTTCGGACAATCATTATATCTTTTTCCCGTTTTTATTTTATTTTGTTTTTACATTCGTGTGTACATGGACGTTTCTATAAATACATTATTTTTGTTTTATATTTTTTTTGACGTCTATGTAATAAGACGATATCAAAATTGATGTGGCGAGTACTTGAGTGAGTATATAATAGTGTTTAATTATAAATAAAGACCGGATTTATATGCTGCTAATATTCACAAAAAAGCATTTTAAAAAGTGTTGGTGTTATTAAAATTCAAAAATTAAAAAAATATGAAAAAAAAAAAAAGTAAAATTGATAGAGGAGTTCAATAGCCCCATTCTGAGGGATTTATCTTAATACATAGAATTTTTATAAAATTAAAAGATGTTAAATATTTAATAAGTTTAAACCTATAGAGGTTTTAAATCCCTTTATCACGTTTGATTTTTAAATAATAGGTTTTGAGTGTTTGTTTGTAGTTTTGAAAAGTACAAAAATTTTGGTCTTTCAATATAATTTTTAAGAACTGATACTGGGATCGGGTGCGTAGGTTGTAGGTGGATATTCGGAAATATAGAATACATCTATAAGCAACGATAAATCATTATTAATGAAAAACGATTCGGAGCGAAGTTCGGTTATACGTGTTTTGAAAGGCCGTAATATTTACGATTTTCGTCAAAATTTGATTATAAACCCTTATAAAAAAAGATTATAAACCCTTATAAAAAAAAAAAAAAAAAAAATACTACCTTACGATTATTATTTTTTTTACTACTATAAACTATTTTTAATGGACCTCCTGTCAAATTTTCAATCATTTCAGTCTAACAATGTTATCCTTAGAGTACTTAGCGAATAAAAATTACGTAAAAACGTGCAAAATTTAAATGTCTGTTAATAGCTCATTAATGGCTTAAATGTATTGAAAATTTACCACATCCAGAAAAGACAAATTTTAGTTTTCTATTAAAATGTCAAATTTCTACGGTTATTTTTAATTGAATTTCAACAAAAAAGCTAAATTAAAAAAATTAAATAATCATTTTTGTAAATTTTCCCGTTCTTTCTACGAAATTTCGATTTTGCTCAATTATTAAAAAAACTACAGGGAAAATCAAAAAATGACTTATTCATCTACCAACTAGATCCAAAATGAAACGAAAAAAGTTCAAGTGTCGTTTTTCCAACGGAAAAATATTTCTGGTAGCAAACATAGTGTGCAAAATTTAAAAAAAATGAAATAGGTATCTCTGCGACGCGTCATAAATATTTGCCAATACTTGCTCTGATGTATAAGTGTAGCATCTTTTCTGAAAGCTTAAGTTATCTAAATTGTACTTAAAACAGGTCATTTTTTTTTGATTTTCAACGCCATTTTTTAAATAAAAGCACTTAAGTGGAAAAAACGTAGGAAAACGTACAATTTCACGTTTTCATTATTTTATAAAAACACGGACATTTTTTATCAAGAAAAATGGTTTAATCGAAAAATCACAAAATGCCTTTTTTGTTGCCTTTTTGATTCACTTTCTTAAGGTATCATTGTCAAAACTTTTGAGCCACTTTTGAGCTTTTAAGGAATTTTAATTTTTGGGAGTTTTTTTGCTGTAATTCGGTTATAAATACACGTAGATACTTGAAACTTGGTAATAATACTTATATTGGACTTGCGTGGTCAAATTTTCAAAATCATCGGATGACATTTTTTCTTTTTTTTTTAATAAGGGTTTTGAAATCGCAAAAAAAAAATTACGGCACTTTAAATTACGTATTACCGAACTGCGCTCGGAATCGTCTTTCGTCAGCAATGGTTTACCGTTGCTATATAAATATATATACAATATATGTCGGATATAAACGAGATAACCTTATGTACCTCACCTTCCCAACTTCTCACCTACGTCAGTGGCCGCTCCCATCCCTAGTATCAGCTCTTTTTTATTATTATTATTATTTTTTTTCAATTGTCGAGTCGAAAAATTCGAAATCCGTTATATAGAAAACATCACGACCTGGGTTACGGACATATGCATTGCTCAATGATTTATTATAATTTATGATGTACACATATAGGTAGGCACCTACTTTCTACGTAATAATACTATAATGCAATATATGTATAAATTGTATATATATAGTATTAAACACAGTTCACGGTGGCACGCGTTAGGTTTATCCAAATTGTATAAACCTATCCGCAACCGATAGGTTTTATTTGCGTATCATAACATTTTATTGAAAATTCATTAATCTATAATACCCTGTATAGATACTCGTATATCATAATATACATAAGGCCCCGTCAAAAATAACCTGACTATAAGTTTTATATAGTCGTTATGATACAGGCGCGAGTCCGATTCGTCGTAAATATCTAGTTAGCTGTTACAATATTATTAGGGGGAATTTATTATCAAAATCAATATTATTTCAAGTGTGTTCACAACGTTATCGACGTAATATTATAATTTAAATTAATTAAAGATAAACAATGTTTATAGCTACACAAATAATATTGTTCTGTCATTAAATAGATATTTTTTTTTGGAAAAAATGCCATTATTGTTTTATAATGTAGACGTTGTCAATATAACTGTAATTTGAATATTGACTCCGTCTGTTTGCACGAAGAATACCTAATTAATATACGACAAACTGCATACCTAAATTACTATACATCATAATGTAAGTATAGGGTTTCGAGTTGTTTAAATATTATAATATTACATTGTAGTGTATTTTTTACCTATAAAGGTAGGTGTTTTAACAGGACTAGATTTAGCGGGGGGTGGGGGTGGGGGAAGCTAGAGATTCTATTGTACCACGTTTGGTCAGCGTTGATATTTTTTGTTTATGGGAAAAATATTATTATACATTTTTTTCCTACATAAACATTTGATTGCAATAATATTTGTCACTCTTTCTGTTTCTAAAACTACTACTTATCCAACCACGATCATTTTCAACGTAAGAAGAAGATTGACACATTGTTTACGTAAAAAGGTTCCTTAAAGAATTTAGGCGAACGGCTAAGAAAAGATTTTTCAATGCTCAACCACTAAGTATTTAAAAGATGTCTTAAAGTTTGTATACAATATTAGAGCCGATGCACATAATTTTTTTGTTTATGAATTGTTTGGTGACTGGAAAGTAATATAGTCTACTTTTCATCCGGGAAAAACATATAGTTATCGTGGGAAACATACTTAACCCTTAATTTTCTAAAACGTATAACTTATAGGAGTTTTAACTAAGATCGGCTGTTCATACGCCCTAGATAGAGCTCAAAGAACTACCAACCTCTATCCTAATAATAATAAGCAATTTAGTAAAATCAATCCCTTTAAGGATTGAAAAGGGGTGTCGAAGTTAGCGGAAAAAAATAACTCTATACAATTAGATTTAATTAATTAATCTAATAAATAGTTTCTATTAAAATAGCGACTGTGCGTTGCATATTGCGGTATGATATATTATGATGTTTATTCAATTTGCAAAATAATAATATAATATATAGCTGCTATGCAGTCGAATAATATTATTTTGTAGTTTGAACAAGTTTTTATGTGTGCCAGATTCGTGTTGGTAATGTAGTTTTCTGAAGACCGTCACCGCAATATAGCAACATAGCTAGTCTATTAAAACGCAGTCGCTGCAGCTTGACCAGGCTACAAATATTAAATCGATTATTTCGATAATATATAAAATATGTTCCAAGTCTGAAATGTACAAATTAAGAAATTATAGCTATATTATAGTATAGTTATATAAATTGGCGTTAAAACCAAATACAAAAGTTATTTAAAAAAAAAAAAAAAAAAAACGAAAAACGATTAAGA